TAAATGGAATTAGATTGTTTTCTAATACTTTTATATATATTGCTGCTGTTATTTTACCTTCTAATCTAACTAATGGCTCAACCTTATTTTTTGTAAAATAGCCTTAAACCATTACACTTTCTTGACCTGATTTAAAAGTTGAAATAAGACATTTTGATTTATATTTTTCTTGGGGATTTCTTCAAACATGTCTTCTTCCATCCTCCCAAATATCTCAAATTTTAATTCATCACTTCAAATAATATTTTTCCACTCATTTATCCAATCTTTTCTTATTTTAACCTAAGTTAACCTTTTTATTTTATTTGCAACATTAACAAAAGATTTTTTAGCTTCAATTTTTCCATAAATTTTATTCTTATGAAGATATCTTTTAAAAGTAATTGAGCTTATGTTTGTTGAAGTGGAAAAAATAAACTCTTTACATAATTCTTTAATATTAGTTCTACAATTTTTATTAAGAACTTACATTAAGTGATTATTATCTTTTTCAGTTATAATACATGACCAACCACTTCGAGCAGACATTTTCTCTAATCTATCATTTTAATAAGCTGAAATAACATTATGTACTGTATTTTTTTTTATAATGTAATATCTCAGATATTTTTCTTTTGACAATATCACATTTCCAAGCACCTATTATTTTACCATGTTGAAATTCAGTAAGTTCTTTATGTTAAGTAGCAGTAGCCATTTTTATAAAATTATTTTTTGAAGAAACAAAAGTGTAAAAATAAATTATTAAAAAAATAAATAAGATCTTTTTAAATAATTAAGTTATATTATTTATAAACAATATAATTTTATTGATGCATTATAATATCCTGGATAATGTTACAACTTCACTTTAACTACATATTTTTTATTTAAAACTACACAATATTATAGTAACTGTACTGTATATTTTATTTAAAACTATGTATATGCAGTGTCATGCTAATAACATATCTTAATATAATTAATTAGAATAAAATATTCTAAATAATAAAAGTTTTTATTTACTTAAATACTAATAAAAATAATACTAAGTAATATTAAAGATAAGTGAATATTATATCTTGTGTAAAGTATTCAGATTTTATTAATAAAAGTAAACTAATAATGAGCAGTTGAATTTCAAAGAATAAATTTTGAATATCTAGTATTTAGTTATTGATATTAAATTTAATTTTTAAGAAAAAATTCTAAAAACTTTACAGACAATGATCCTTATTTATAGCTATAAGATTAATTAGTAACATATTTGATGTTTTATTAGTAAATAATAAACTTTTATATGTATAAATGTCTTATAATTATTTTTGAATTTTTAAAAAAAATTAATGTTGATCATTTTATCTTTAAAAAATCTAAAAAAAATTTGAAAATAATTATTAATAATTAATATTATAGCCAAGAATAAGTAGCATCTTTTGTGAAGTTTTTAGAATTTATTCTTGCAAATTGAATTTAATATCAACAGTTAAACTTTGGACATTCAAAAATTATTCTCTAAAATTCAATTATTAATTATTTGCTCAATTTGAATTAAATTTGTCTGAATACTTCACATAATTTGCTTTATATTCTCAACTTTAATATTACTTAGTATCATTTTTATTAGTACTTTAGTAAAAAAAGCTTTCATATGTAAAAACAAAAGACAATTATTTTTAGATTTTTTTTTATTTTTTTAGAATTTTTAATAAATTTCAGCTATTTTTATTCACATCTAATTAAAGTCAAAATTATCACTAGATACCATAAAAAATTCTTTTAATTAAAATTGTAGACATTATTCTTGGCTACAATTTCATATAAGATAGTTAATATCTATCTTTAAATTCATCAAATATGATATAGATAATGTTCAAGGATCAAATTTTTTATTTTTTGTTAATTTTATTTAAAGTGTAATTTCTCTATTAATAGATATTTAATTTTAACACAAAATATATTATATGATAACTCTAATTTAAGGGAATCTAATAAAATAAAGTTTGTACAGTTTAGATCATCCGTTGTGTCACAATTAGCATTTTAACTTTAATGATTTTTTTATTAATTTTTATTTGCTCCATGACCTTTGATATCCCACTGTATCTTATTTTTAAAACTTTTATTAATAACAATATCTAATGGTTGTAATTTAGACATACAATCTCCTGGAATTACTACAATATTTGTATTTTTTTCTACTAATCTATTTTTAACAGAAGTTACAAGATGACTATAAAATGAATATAATATCAGCATAGAATATGAATTTCCTAAAATGTTTCTTGATGTCTATACATTTTCAATTCACCACAACATTTCTAATTCATTCATCCATCCCTTCTCATTAACTCTTATATAAATATCAGATGGAAATTGTTCTCTTGATAAATTCTTCAATTTAAAAATACAAACAGTAGGAAGTTCGATACCATCAGCCATACGTGCAAGTACAACTGTAAAAGATGAACGCTGTTACTCTTGGTTTTCTTCCGATTAAATAGTTATATTATTTTTCTTACTTTATTATTATATTTTATATTGTTAATATTATTTATTATTTATTTGTATTATTTAGTTATTTAGTTATATATAGTTATATTATTATTAGTA